AGTCTGGGGTGCAAAAAGTGGTCTAACCGACATGAAATCATCAGGGTGAACTGGCCTGTCCATTCACCAATCAGAAAACCCCATCGAAAACCTGTAGAATGAGATTTCAAATCAATTGGCAAAGATCGCCCGTTTACAAAAAATGGTCTTATCCAAAGTATCTTTAGAGCCTGGGTCACCTAGCCTCTAAAATTTAACTGAACCTTTAGAAGTCAGCATTGGCCATATTGAGATCACGTGTCTATCCTACAATAGGTTAATACTAACATGATGACATGCGTTTCGTAAAGGTAAAGTACTGATCTGTAAACCTGTAGTTAAGGCGATTACTTGACATGACAATTTTCAATAAAATTCCAATTGAAAAACCATAATCTGTTGTTCACCTTCAAGCAAAATACTGCAATACTTTTGTCACCCCACTGTACATTTCAATAGAGGCATCCTTGCGAGGTTTCTTTCTGTAAATGTTATTTCCAAAGATCACACTCTTTCTTCATCCTCGGCCTTCAGTAGCATTACATATATAGAAAAGTCAATGGCATGGTCCCTTAAGGACGGCCTACAAGTTATCAGGTACTCACATGTAGAGGCGAGGTTGTGTCAATATTGATAGCCCAAGATTCCTGCGCAATGCTTTCAAGCAGGCAGCAAAATATCGGGGAATGTTACTCAAGGTTCATATGTCGCATGAAGAATTAATATATATGTATAGCAACTCGCTAAAAAATTAAAAGCACTACTAGCTAGTCAGAGAAGAATTTCATCAGCTGTGTTAAGTTATAAGAATGATGTGAATTTTTCTTCAGTCAACAGCTAATACTGAGATAGGTTTTACCTCCAAAAATTCGATGTCTATCAGCACATCTTCTTCAGGGAAGAAATCGAGGAAGAAGATGTCCTGATAAACATCGAAATATTTGAGGTAAAACCTATCTCAGTATTAGCTGTTGACTGAAGAAAAAAATCACAACTACTAGCCAGTGTTGTGCAGTGTAGTGCAGTAAAGTGTTGGGTAGTGTAGCGCCACACGGTGTACAATGTGCATCAAATTTATTTATAGTTTAGCAAACACTGCTGACCCACAAATTAGTGCGGTAAAATGTTCAATCTATAACGGCATTTGCAACTAGATGTAGCGCCTCCTTGTACGTGGCGGTATCTGGTGGAGAAGGTTATATTATGGTACCAGTATGTTATGGTGAGGACATAGGCTATTCGTCTGGCAGCATAGATCACCTGAAAGGAACATTAGATAGTCAGCATAGTGTGCATGTAAAAACGATAGCAAATTCAAAACCAGGCGTAACATATATTCTGCTCTGCGTAACAAAAAAGCATTAGTACCAGCATCGTCGCCATTTCGAGAAAAATGTCTGCTTGGTTTGATTCTGATTTCAACCTCGGCGGTTCCTTCAGTCTAGGATCAGCATACAGTGTGTACAGTAAACCTCGCAGTAACTCTGTAGACAGCTTTAATAGTGGTTGTTCCCCACAAAGCGCCGTGCGTTACCTGCATCCTCCAGTGCAGCAAACAAACAGTGAAGGTCAGCAACCTCAACATAGCAAAGATACGGAGAATATAGAATGTGAGGCCGGCAACGGGGAAGAGACTGTAAATTATGCAAAAAATTCCGAGGACATAGACAGAGGGTGGGCTTGGGCTGTACTGGTAGCATCCTTCTTCTCAAGCTGTGTTAACATAGGCATCAACAATTCCGTCGGAGTATACAACGCGGAATTCTTGATTCAGTTTCCCGAGGAAAATCGAGGCATTGTGTCGCTAGCCGGCAGCTTGCAGAACTCGCTTTGTGGCTTGACAGGTCTGGTGAGCGGCATTATCATCAGCAAGTACAGCTGCAGGACAAGTATTCTTTTGGGCGCCTTGATTTCAGCGCTCGGCTTTATTGGTACCGCTTTCTCTACAAATGTCCCGCAGGTTATAGCAACATTTGGATTTGTAGTCGGTAATACAGTTATGTGTAAATAAATGTAAATATTTGTGTGTGTGTCTGTCTGTCTGTCACTTTGTTTATCGGCCCAGTCTATCGGACCGTCTGGCAGCTTACACGGCGGCTTGTACCTTCATCCCTCCATGCAATTAATCATCATTATTAAATGACTTTTGCTTACTTTTTCCATCGGAATATAATGTAAGGGACAATTCCTAGACTCTATCGATTTAACTGTGGTTCTATCTATCTCCAAGGGGGGGGTTCTCGCTTAATTGCAATTAACGTAAGCAGCTTAAATGACTGGCGCGGCTACTGAAGCTGTTAGTGGGTAGTTAACAATCGTTTAGCAGCTTCAGTAGGCGTGCCAGACATCAAAGCCGCTTAGGCTGAGAGCAATTTAGTGAGAAACCCCTGGGAAATGGATCGATCCTGTTAGATCGATCTAGGTATGGGAATACAGTCTTATACGCAACAAGCGTTGGTCCTTTGTTACATTTTTTGTGGCGGTATCTGTCGGAGGGGGTTGTGTCATGGTACCAGTATGTTATGGTGTGGTCACTGTTCTATTTTGTCACTGACCCCATATATTAAACTGGTCCATGTGATGGATTATGCTGTCGTTTGCCAGCAGTGGACACCTGAAATGCACATCAGCTTTTCAGCATAGTGCGCACGTAAAAACAAGTCAGCCAGAAATACCAATTTCATCACGTCTAGAAAATGTCTGCTTTGTTCGATTCCGATTTCAACCTCAGCGGTTTCTTCAGTCTAGGATCAGTATACAGTGTGTACAGTAAACCTCGCAGTAACTCTGCCGACAGCTTTGATAGTGGTTGTTCCCCACACAACGCCGTGCGTTATCTGCATCCTCCAGTGCAGCAAACAAACAGCGAAGGTCAGCAACCTCAACATAGCAAGAATACGGAGAATATAGAATGTGAGGCCGGCAACGGGGAAGAGACTGTAAATTATGCAAAAAATTCCGAGGACATAGACAGAGGGTGGGCTTGGGCTGTACTGGTAGCATCCTTCTTCTCAAGCTGTGTTAACATAGGCATCAACAATTCCGTCGGAGTATACAACGCGGAATTCTTGATTCAGTTTCCCGAGGAAAATCGAGGCATTGTGTCGCTAGCCGGCAGCTTGCAGAACTCGCTTTGTGGCCTGACAGGTCTGGTGAGCGGCATTATCATCAGCAAGTACAGCTGCAGGACAAGCATTCTTTTGGGCGCCTTGATTTCAGCGCTTGGCTTTATTGGTACCGCATTTTCTACAAACGTCCCGCAGGTTATAGCAACATTTGGATTTGTAGTCGGTAATACAGTTATGTGTAAATAAATGTAAATATTTGTGTGTGAATGTGCATGGCCAGAAATGCGCAGCATTCACGCGATACGCGAGGGCGCTACAGTAGGGCTTCACGTGTCTCAACAAGCCAATCACAGCACAACAATGGAATCGCACACAGACTCTGTGATAAGTGCTCAGCCCATTGTCAAGTAGTGTTAGTTCATGGTAACAAAGGTCTGACATGTGCAGAGAAGTTTATTGTAATATATATTGTTGTTATTGTTACATTATTAAATGTAACTCTGTATCCAAGTAGTAACTATACTGTACCAAGTAAGGTACTGATGATGTGCAGAGGTTATATATTCCAGAATAAGCCATTACCACCAACTAATTTATGACTTTAATTTTGTTTAATATGTTATTCATGAAAGAGTTCATGAAAGATTATTTTAACTTGTTAAATCGTGATCTTATTCTTTTTATATTCAAATAATTGAATAATGTGGGTATAATTGGTCTTCCACTTCTTATTTGCATTTTTCCTTTACTACAAGATTATTTTGGAACAGTTGCAGCATTAAAATTTAAAATAAATAGCAATCTGAAAGAAGAATTTTGCATTATTATTAAATGATGATAGGAATTTTGGATTAAGAGATTAGTTTTAAAAATACTGAGTAGTGATATTGTCAATCAATTTATGTAGAATCTGATAATATGATTGAAAATACGGATTGAATTCTGGGCCTTGCACTGGGCAGTTTCACATTTGTGCCAAATGCTTTTTTGGACTCCTTTGTGCAGTGGTAAAAGTTCTTCAATTGCCATGAAAGTTTTTAATCAGACTGTGTATGGTGCTGCTATCTGCTAGTGCTATCGGCAACGAATGAGTTTGCCTTTGTTTCTGAGTGAATCTACCGTCTAAAATCACTATTTCTGAAAATATGTGCGTTTTGCTGAGGGTATGCTAGGCAATACACGGCAAACTTCTTAGTACGTGTGTACAACAGAATTTTTTTAAAAACCCTAGCGATATTTGGTCAGGAGTTGCTTGAAGCATAGCACAGCTTGCTGTCTATCGGCATCAGGTCNTAAAAGTGCACGCATGCGCAGTGGGCTAAGCGTGACGTCATGCAGTGCATTTCTGGGGATGGTCTGTCTGTATAATTATGTGACCATTCCCAGACCCTAGGGACTATTCCCAGACCCTATCCAACTATCTATCTATCTCCAAGGGGGATTCTCGCTAAATTGCAATTGTCTTATACGCAACTAGCGCTGGTCCTTTGTTACATTATCTTTGCGGCGGTATCTGTCGGAGGGGGTTGTGTCATGGTATCAGTAGGTTATGGTGTGGTCACTGTTCTATTTTGTCACTGACCCCATATATTAAACTGGTCCATGTGATGGATTATGCTGTCGCCTGCCAGCAGTGGACACCTGAAAGTCACATCAGTTATTCAGCATAGTGCGCACGTAAAAACAAGTCAGCCAGAAATACCAATTTCATCACGTCTAGAAAATGTCTGCTTTGTTCGATTCCGATTTCAACCTCAGCGGTTTCTTCAGTCTAGGATCAGCATACAGTGTGTACAGTAAACCTCGCAGTAACTCTGTAGACAGCTTTAATAGTGGTTGTTCCCCACACAACGCCGTGCGTTATCTGCATCCTCCAGTGCAGCAACCTCAACATAGCAAGAATACGGAGAATATAGAATGTGAGGCCGGCAACGGGGAAGAGACTGTAAATTATGCCAAAAATTCCGAGGACATAGACAGAGGGTGGGCTTGGGCTGTACTGGTAGCATCCTTCTTCTCAAGCTGTGTTAACATAGGCATCAACAATTCCGTCGGAGTATACAACGCGGAATTCTTGATTCAGTTTCCCGAGGAAAATCGAGGCATTGTGTCGCTAGCCGGCAGCTTGCAGAACTCGTTTTGTGGCCTGACAGGTCTGGTGAGCGGCATTATCATCAGCAAGTACAGCTGCAGGACAAGTATTCTTTTGGGCGCCTTGATTTCAGCGCTTGGCTTTATTGGTACCGCTTTTTCTACAAACGTCCCGCAGGTTATCGTAACATTTGGATTTGTAGTTGGTAATACAGTTATGTGTAAATAAATGTTAATGTTTGTGTGTGTGTGTGTGTGTGTGTGTGTCTGTCACTTTGTTTATCGACCCAGAGTCTATCAGACTGTCTTGCAGCTACAAACGGCGGTTTCTACCTTCACCCCTCCATGCAATTAATCATTATTACCTACTCCACCAAGGAGGTTATGTTTTCACCCCTGTTTGTCTGTCTGTCTGTCCGTCTGTCTCTCTGTCTGTCTGTGATCAACATAACTCAAAAAGTTATGGACCGATTTTAATGAAATTTTCAGGAACTGTCAGATGTGGGCCAAGGAAAAGATGATTAGTTTTTGGTGGTGATCCAGATCAATAAACAATCAATAATCAAAAATATCGAAAATTTAGGGGTGAAACAGGATTGAATAGAGACTTTGCTGCCTTGGTGGAGGTCTGCGCTCTCTGAGTGCTTTTCTACTTATTCAATAATATTTTGCTACCTTTTTCATCCGAAATATTCACCTTCTTTGCAGGGTGTGGTACCGGCCTCGTTTACACGGCTACGACAGTGTGCGTTGGTCAATATTTCCACAAGAGAAGGCCCATGGCTCTTGGCATTACTACA